AAATGATGCAGCCACTATGGAAAATAGCATGGCAGCTCCTTAAAATTTCCAAATAGTATTACCGTATGTATGGATGTACCCAAAAGGATTAAAAGCAGGGTCTTGAAGAGATATTTGTACACTCATATTTAAAATAGCATTATTCACAATAGCCAAAGAGTGGAAGAAACCCAAGTGTTCATCAGTGGATGAATGGATGAACAAAATATGATATAACATATATAGAATATTATTCAGCCATAAGAGGGAATGGAATTCTGATACATGCTACAACATGGATGAACCTTGAAAACATTTGCCGAGATATAAACCAGACACAATAGGACAAGTGTTATATGTTTTCACTTATATGAAATGTCTAGAATAAGCAAATTCATAGAGATAGAAAAGTAGGAGAAAGGTTACCAGTGTCTGAGAGGAGAGGGGAATAAGGGGTTATTAATTAATGGGTATAGAGCTGTTATTTGGGATGCTGAAAAAGTTCTGGAAATAGTGGTGATGGTTACACAACATTGTGAATATACTTACTGTATTATACACTTAAAATGGTTTTAAAATAGTAAATTTTGTGTTATGTATTTTATCACAATAAAAAATAAAATTAAAAAATACGCCATCACCAACTGAGATTTGTCCTAGGTATGCAAGGTTGGTTTAACATCGGAAAATCAATTAATGTAATATACCACCACATCAATAGAATTTTTAAAAATGCACATGCATGATCATCTCAGTAGACACAGAAAAGGCATTCATTTGGCAAAATCCAACACCCTTTCATGACAAGAACACTCGAAACTAGGAATAAATAAACCAGGAAACTTCTTCAAATAAATTCTGTAGATACTCTGCCCTCAAGGAGGTAGAGTGTGTGTGGGCAATGCATAATGACTCCTTCCAGAAGTACAGTATAGAAGGTGGGAGATGATGTAACTTTATTGTGTAGAAACTTGTTAAACACTGCCTCAGCCAGCTGATCAAGTTTAATATCAACAGTAATAAGTCATGCTGATAATACGTATCCTTGATATTATGTGATGAAAATGACCTTCCTCTGTGGTCTTCCAAAAATCCATACACAACCAGTTCCAGTCTACTCATGAGAAAATTGACAGATGCCAATTAAGGGACATTCTACAACATACCCGACCAGTACTCCTCAAAACTGTCAAGGTTATCAAAAACAGTGAAAATCTGAGAAACAGTCACAGCCAAGATGAGCTTAAAGAGACAAAGACTAAATGTAATATGGTATCCTGGATGGGATCATGGAACCTAAAGAACATTAGGTAAAAACTAAGTATATCTGACTAACATGAATCTTAGTTAATAATAATGAATATGTCGATATTGGCTCATTAGTTTTTAACAAATATACCATACCAATGTAGCATGTCAATAATAGAGCAGGCTGGGCACAGTGGCTCACACTTATAATCTCAGCAATTTGGGAAGCTGAGGTAGGAGGATCACTTGAGGCCAGGAGTTCAAGACTAGCCTGTGTAACATAGCAAGACCCCATCCGAAAAAAAAATTTTTTTAATTAGCTTAGTGTGGTGGTGCATATCTGTAGTCCTACCTACTTGGGAGGCTAAGGCAGGAGGGTCGCTTGAGCCTAAGAGTTTGAAGTTGCAGTGAACGGTGATTGCAACACTGCACTCTAGCCTGAGTGACACAGCAAGACCCTCTCTCAAAAAATAATCGTAATAATAATGATAGGGGAGACTGGATGCCATGGGAATTCTCTGTACTATCTTTGACATTTTTCTGTAAATCTAAAACTATTCTGTAAAATAAAGTGGGGGTTTCTGGGGTTTTTTTGTTTGTTTTTTGAGATAGGGTTTTGCTCTGTCACCCTAGCTAGAATACAGTGGCATCATCATAGCTCACTGCAACCTCAAACTCCTGGGCTCAAGTGATCCTCCTGCCTCAGCCTCCCAGAGTAGCTGGAACTACAGGCTCACACCACCATGCCTGGCTATTTTTTTCTATTTTTTGTAGAGACAGCGTCTTGCTTTTGCTCAGGCTGGTCTCCAACTCCTGGCCTCAAGCAATCCTCCCTCCTCCGCCTCCCACAGTGCTAGGATTACAGGTGTGAGTCACCACGCCTGACCTAAAATAGTTTATTTATTAAACAAAATGGGCAAAGGATCTGTGCAAGCCTTTCTCCAAAAAAGATACGTAAATAACCAAAAAGTACATGAAAGGATGCTCAGCATCATTCACCATTAGGGAAATACAAATCAAAACCACAATGAGGGGGAGGGAGGTGGATGGGGAAAAGGGAGATGCTGATCAAAGGGTACAAAGTTTCGGTTAGACTGGAGGAAAAAAACTTTAGTGATTTATTGCACAGAATAGCGACTATAATAAATAATGATGCATTGTGTATTTCAAAATTGCTGAAAGAGTCGAGTTTAAATGTTTCACTGCAAAAAATGATAAATATGTGAGGTGATGGATTTGATAATTCATCTGATTTAATCATTCCACATTATAAACATATATCAAAACATCACATTATACCCCGTAAATATATACAATTATTATTTGTCAGTTAAAAATAAAATTTTAAAAAACCACAGTGAGATATTACTTTCCACCCTGTAGGATGGCTTTAATAAAAAAGATAATAACTATGTGGAGGCTTTGGAACCCTTATATACTCCTGAGAGGTATATAAAATAGTACTCTGCTTTTGAAAGTAGCCTGGCAGTTTTTCAAAAGGTTAAACAGAGTTACTACTCCTACGTATATACCCAAGAGAAACAGAAACACGTGTTCACACAAAAACTTGCATGCAAATGATCACAGCAGCCTTTTTTGTAATAGTCAAAAAAGAAACAGCCCATATGTCTATCGACTGATGATTACATAAATATAATGTGATATATCCATACAGTGGAATGTTAGCAATAAAATAAAGTACTGACTGGGTGTGGTGGCTCATGCCTGTAATCCCAGCACTTTGGGAGGCCAAAGCAGGAGGATCCCTTGAGCCCAGGAAGTTGAGGCTGCAGCGATGATCATGCTGCTACACTTCAGCCTAGGCAATAGAGCAAGACCCTGTCTCAAAATAAAAACACAACAAAAAATGAAGTACTAATACATGCTACATGCTTGAATGACCTTTGAAAACATTAAGTGAAAGAAGCAAGTCAGAAAAGACCACATATCGAATGATTCTATGATTTTGTTTATTTGAAATGTCCAAAACAGGAAAATCCATAGATTCATAACAAATAGATTAATGTTTCCTAGGGCTCACGGCGGGTTGGGAGGAGATGGGGGGATAACTGTTAAAGAGGTGCCACATTTCTTTTTGGGGATGAAAATGTTCTAAAGTTGATTGTGGTGATGGTTACACAACTGTGAATGTACTAAAAATCATAGAATTGTATATTTTAAACTAGTCATTTGTATGGTAGATGGATTATATCTCAAGGTTGTTACAGAAACAACAATACAGTAGATGTGTGTGTACAGGAAAAGTCTTTTGAAAGAATTCAGTACCTTTAGTGGAAGTTTGGTGTTGCTAGTGTTATCAGTGCATAGCCTATACTCAGTAAAACTTTTGTTTAATTAATTAATGAACACTCAAACAGATCTTTATGTTGGCCACCAGGTACCTGAGCAGCAGCCCATTACTTTGTGTAGTGGAGTTGAAGACACAAAACATTATGAGGAAGCCAAGAAATGTGTAGAAGAATTAGCATTGTACCTGAAACCACTCAGCAGTGCTAGAGGTAAATTTAATGCAATTATCCGTGCTAAACAAATGTCTGTTAAA